CATCTCTAAGAAGGCAGGGAGACCAGAGCGAGACTTAGCAGCGGGAGGGAAGAGCAGGGACGGCAGGAGGTGTCCAGAGGCAGGGACACACACAGTGTGCTAAGGCCCCGCCACTCCCAGGCATGGCTCCCAGACTGGTGGCCGCAGCGTTGCCTGGGAGTGCATTGGAGAAGTAGCATCCCAGGCTTCACCCCACACCTACTGAGTCAGAATCTGCTTTCCCACAAGCCCTCCTGGTGAAGAATGGCTTTTGGCTTAAAAAACACCCAGAGACACATTTTTTATCTTACAAGAGAGAACAGTGGATGGAACTGCATTTCTCCCTGTTTTAACATCTCTCTTAAACATCTTCTAACACTTTTTCTGCCTTAGTGGAGGAACAAAGAAGGAAAAGAAAATGTAAACACACAAGTGCATGCGTGCACCCACACACACACACACACACGCAGCAACATCAACGATGTCATATACAATCCAAGTGATGGCTAACAGGCACATATTTCTTTAATGAGCACCATTTCCGATGAAAAACATACTTCATGCTCCATGCAATTCTCCCACCAAGATTTGCAAGCTCGGGGGTCATCGTAGCTTAGGGGTTAGATGTGATGCTTTGGACACATGAGGGACAGTCTCAGTAGTAAAACTGTTTGACAGCATGATGCCCTTATTAGTTCCATCATCTGGAGCAGAACCCATCAGACGGAGCGGAGCCTGTCATTTTTGATAGGGGGCGGAGCCTGTCAGTTTTGATTGATGGGGAGCGGAGCCTGCTGCAGCTTAACCTGGTGGGATCTTGACTTTGATTACTGAGCTCATTCAGGGGCTGCCTTTACCATAAATCCATCTTCTTTATCGGCGCAAAGTCAGGCCTTTTATAGCAACCATCTGTATAAACAAAGTATCCTTGAGTCTAAAAAAATGACTTCTCTGGATAAGTTTTTTTTTTTTTTTTGAAATGGAGTTTTGCTCTTGTTACCCAGGCTGGAGTGCAGCGGTGCAATCTTGACTCACTGCAGCCCCCGCCGCCCGGGTTCAAGCAATTCTCCTGCCTCAGCCTCCTGAGTAGCTGGGATTATAGATGCCCACCACCACACCCGGCTAATTTTTGTATTTTTAGTAGTAATGGGGTTTCAACACATTGGCCAGGCTGGTCTCGAACACCTGACCTCTGGTGATCTGCCCGCCTTGGCCTCCCAAAGTGCTGGGATTACAGGCATGAGTCACTGCACCCGGCCTCTGGGTAAGATTTTTTGACTTAATTGCCCCTTCACCTCCAACTCCCTTGCTTAAAAAGCTCAAGATGGGGCCGGGCACAGTGGTTCATGCCTGTAATCCCAGCACTTTGGGAGACCGAGGCAGGCAGATCATTTGAGGTCAGGAGTTAAAGACCAGCCTGGCCAACATGATGAAACCTTGCCTCTACTGAAAATACAAAAATTAGCCAGGCATGATGGTGGGTGCCTGTAATCCCAGCTACTCAGGAGACCAAGGCACAAGAATTGCTTGAACCCAGGAGGCAGAGGTTGCAGTGAGCTGAGATCATGCCACCGTACTCCAGCTTAGGCGACAGAGTGAGACTCTGTCTCAAAAAAGAAAAAAAAAAAAAAAAACTGGACCAAAAAAACATAATTTTATTCCCCGTGTCTCTTAAGAAAACAAAAACATATTTTGCATTCTACGCCTCCCTGAGGGAGATGGCTGTGGGGGCAGTGGCGCTCTCTCTGGAAGGCTTTAGATGCCAACCCCTAGGGCATGAACGTTTCTTCCCAGCCTCTGACTACTTTCTCCTGACCTCTGACCTCTGGCCTGCCCCCTTCCTCTTTCTCTGGATTCTGTCTCCCCAAATTTCTTGATCCCACCTCTAAGCCCCTACTCCCCACGCAGGAAGGAAAAGAACATTCACAGGATAAATATTTAGCCCAAAGGTCTTGGAGAGTGTCTTTGGGAGGCTCCTCACAGTGGGGCTCCAGGCATAGCTGACCTCACCCAGCTTCTCCTAACAGTGCCACCTTGGTCCTTCTGGCCTGCCCTCCACGCCCATCTCCCTCGGTCCCTCTGTCCAGGGCAAGTGGTGGTAGCCCCTGGAGGGGAATTTGGCTCCCTCGTAATCCCCATGATAGCTTCTCCAACCATCCCCAATAAACATTCATGCAGCCCATCTGTTTAGCAGGTGTTTCCAGCTGCCCTTTCGGAAAAGACTGCTGTCCCCAAGGCTCCCATATAGACCATCTGGGTCTGCCACTGCATAGATGTTGCCTCCTTCACAGCAGAGGTTAACATCCGGGGCTCCGAGTCAGACCTGAGTTCAAATCTGACCACTTCTTAGCTGGGAGACTGTGGGCAAAGCGCTTTGGATCTCTGAGACTGCAATTCCCTCCCTGTAAAAGGAGAATAAAGCAGTGGTTCTAAACTAGGGGTGATGTTTGCCTCCCGGGAAACCTCTGGTAATGTCTGGAGACATTTTTGGTTGTCACAACTGGAAGGCGGGAGTGTTAATGTCATCTAGTGGGTCGAGTCCAGAGGTGTTGCTAAATATTTGACAGTGCACAGCACAGCCCCTTAATGAAGGAATTATCCAGTGCAAGTGTCACTAGTGTCAAGGTTGACAAGCCCTGATGAAGTGCTACCCACACTGTCGGGTAGTTGTGAGGATGAAGATCAGGAAGCAGCTAACACAGGGCTTGGCCCACGCTAAGCACACAGTCCATGACTGCGAATGTGGATTTTATGATCAACCTCTTTTGGTTTTTTTGCTCATCATCTTCTCTCCTGCCCTAGACCAACTCCAGGGAGCTTCTTTCACAATCGAGCATACAAAATCGGCAAAACCTGGCACAGTGCAAAGGAGCCACTCTGCCCGTCACCACATTCACACCCCAGCCACAGACCTCTCCCTAGAGTCCCTCAGCTGCCTCCTCACTGGCCTCCCTGTCTCCATGCCTGCCCTCCTCCATTGCTTTCTCCCCACTGCTGCCCAAGGGAATCTCTCAAAACCAGTGTTTTTGAGCACTAGGAGGGCTCTGGATCTATGTAGAGCACTTTACCTACATTATCTTACTGAATCCTTAGAACAAACCTTTGAGGCAAATGCTGAGATTATTCATTACGGAGGAGAGAAAACACGCTCAGAGAGGTGCCGTAACTGACCTAAAATCACAGAGCAAGTAAGTGGCAGAGCTAGGATTTGAAACCAGGTTTGTCTGAGATTAGACCTTATAACTGGGATGTTAGCTGCATCTCCTACTCACTAAAACAGTGGGGGTGCTTCAGAATCCCCTCAGAGGGGGCCTGTTACAATGGGGAGCCACATCCAGGGTGGACCCCAGGAACCCACATTTTGACAACCTCCCCCAGCTCCTGTTGTAGGCGATTCTGATGCCCGTGGTCTATAACGCACTTGGGAAAAGCCTCTCAGATCTTGTTGCTCTTCTTCCTAAAACTATCAATGGTTCCCTTTTCTACTCTGAATCGAGTCCGAAGTCCTGGGCACGTGGCCTTTTCTCCCATTCACTGTAGTGTTTGAGCTTGCATCTGGTCCTTCACCCCTTTGCTCAGGCACGCTCCCTGCCTGTGACACCCCGCCAGCCTTCCTTCTCCCTGGGCCTGGTGGGTTCCCACTGGTGCTGGGCTGGGCGTTAGGACTTCTGGGTTTTAGCTCCATGGGATAGTAGTCTCCCAGCATAACCCTGGACCATCCTTCACTCTCTTTGGGCCTTAGTTTCTCCACTGGAGCCAGAGATGTGACTGGACGCTGGCTGTGTAAACAGAGATGGTAAAGGCAGGCTCTTGCTGCCAAAGCCAGGCCTCTGGGCCTCCCCATCTGTTTGCAGGTCAGCAGCCTGTGTTCCTGGCAGGTGCTAAACACTCACTCACGCTGCTGAGAAGATCCAGGGAGGTCCGGCTCCAGTGCCATGACTGCAGTTGCTTGGGCCAAATCAATGTTTCCACATCTTATCTCTAACTGGCTCAGTCATAATATTGAGACACTTGGCCTCAAGTTGAGAAATGTAGTGACTCAGGGAGATAGCAGCTGTGGCCAGCTCCTGACCCCTGATGGGGACACACCCTTCCAGAAAGAGAAATGGACTTTCCCTACCAGAAGCTCTTCGTGAGGGGAGAAGGAAACTGAGGACCAGAGAGGAGAAACAACTTGCCTGAAGCCACACAGCTACATAGTGGCGTGTGTGCGTTTAATATTTACTGAGCACCTACTATGTGCAAGTCTCCACGGCGGGTGCTATGAAGACAGGCATTAGCAAACAGGACAGAGAAGGGATTTGTTCTTGTGGGAATTTTAGTCACAGCCAAATCTTATTATTATTACTTTTTTCAGAGACAGAATATCTCTCTGCCCCCCAGGCTGGAATGCAGTGGTGCGAACTCAGCTCACTGCAGCCTCGACCTCCCGGGTTCAAGAGGTTCTTGTGCCTCAACCCCCCAAGTAGCTGAGACTACAGGCACATGCCACCACGCTTGGCTAAGTTTGTGTGTGTGTGTGTGTGTGTGTAGAGACTGGGTTTTGTCATGTTGCGCGGGCTGGTCTCAAATTCCTGGGCTCAAGTAATCCACCCGTCTCTGCCTCCCACAGTGCTAGAATTACACATGTGAGCCACTGCGCCTGACTGACCCTTGATATTATTGAAGGTTAACATTTACAAAGCTTTTATCATGTGCTGGTCACCATTCTAAGTACTTATTAAATCTTTATAATTACCCAGTGAGATGGCTGCTGTCATTTTACAGATAAGGAAACTGAGGCATAGTGAGGTTGACACTCACTTGGGGCCACATGCTAGTAGTATAGTGGGCTGAATGGTGGGCCTCTAAGAAATCAGGTTCTCCTAATGAGCCTGCAAATATTACTTTATATGGTAAAGTCTTTGCAAATATGATCAAATTAAGGATTTTGTGATAAGGATATTATCTGGGATTATCCTGCTGGGCTCTAAATGTTATCACATGTATTAAGAGCATGCATGTCACATGCTTCATAACAGGAAGGCCAAGGGAGGGCGGACAGACACACAGAAAAGAAGAAGACAATGTGAAGACCAAGGCAGAGATGGCAGTGATGTGGCTACAAGCAAAGGAATGCTGGCAGCCACCAGCAGCTGGAAGAGGCATGGAGTGATTTCTCCCCCAGAGCCTCCTGTGGGAGCATGGCCTGCTGACACCTTGACTTCAGCTGAGTGAAACTGATGTTCACCCTCCGGCCTCCAGAACTGTGTCAGAATAAACTTCTGTTGTTTTGAGCCATCGAGTTTGTGGCAATTTGTTATGACAGCCGCAGGAAACTAAGCCTAACAGCTAGGAAATGGCCATGCCAGGATTCAAACCCTAACAACCTTCCAATTTCTAGCTTTACAGATGTGCCTTACTCTGTTTTTTTGTTTGTTTGCTTGTTTTTTTTTTTTTTTTGGTCATCTGTCAATCCTAGTCCTGCAAGAAGGTAGATAAGATTGCTCAAAAAACAAACTCTGGTAGGTCAGCTGACTGTTGCACTGAGGTTAGTCTTTGCTGGGGGACCAGGCTCTCCTTGAGATGGTTTCTTCTCCTGCAGCTGGCTAGCCCAGGTTTGTTCTCATGGTGGCTATCCAGAGTTCCAACAGAGAGGGGAGAAATGAAGAAGACTCTTGAGGCCTAGGTTGGAAGCGGGCACAGCATCACTTCCCTTGGATTCCAGTGGTCAGAGCAAGTCTCAAGGCCAAGCCCAGATTCAGATCATGTGGAAATAAACTCACATTGCAAACGGCTTGAGTGCAGGAAGGTCATTAATTAGAGCATCAATGTGAAAAAACTACCCTAGTCTCTACCTCCAGCTCTAGAAGTAGGAAGGCGACGCAGGCCTGACCAATATGAGCTAGAGAAAGAAGCAAAGGAATTTGCACCTGACTTTAATAAGGCCAACCAGAGTTAGTCCCAGAATCTCCTTCCACTGGCATTGCCAAGCTGCCAGGGAATAAGGGCTGCTAAGGCTATCTTGACACGAAACAGGGAGAGGCTGACTGAGGGAGAAGCCAATACAAAGGAAAGCATCGCTAAGAGAGAGAAGTGAGTCCTGGTAACATCCATGGAGCCCCTGGATCCTTCCATACCTGAAGCTGTTTTTCTTCCCAGTTCCCTGAAGCCAGGATTTCCCACCATTGGACTTTCCCTGCTTGAGCCATTAAATTATTGTTATTATTATTGTCAATCAGGTAGAGAGAGAGAGAGAAAGAGTTTTTCCTTTCGGGATCAAGCGCCATGGTCAATTGAAGCACAAATGCCTCTGAATTCTTGCCTTACAACCAGGAATGGGAATACACAGTTAATAGGGGCAGAGAAAAGGCAGGCTTCGAAGTTGAACATCCTGGAATCTAATGATGCCTCCATTACTTGCAAGCTCCATGATGTTGGTTAAGGGAGTCATGATTCTTTTCATCCAGAATGGTTATGAGGATTCAAGGAGCTTGTGTACCTACACGGCTCAGTGCAGAAGGGACACTCGCTAAATGGCATTTCCTAACCTTGATCTCTCTCCTCGGAGCTGTTTCCCTGTTACCAAAGTGGTGTTCAGGCAGAAGCTTCTTGAAGAGGAGCAGAGGAAGGTGGGAAACTGATCAATGGAGTTTGTCCCTGAAACACCCCAGGGGAAGCCTGTCTTGCCTAAATAAACAGTTTAAATGATTAGCCTGGCTTAAGATCTTGTATTTCTTCCAATGTGAGGGCTCATGACCGACATCAAACCAGCGACACAGAACAGTAGCAGGGACTTTTGTTGTTTTTATTAAATGCCACACACATGTGTACCTATCTCCCTCAGAGGAAACTGAGATTCGGAGAGGTTAAGTGACCTGCCTGAGGTCACATAGTGGCAAAGCCAAGATGTAAACCCAGGTCCTCTGGCTCCAGCATGTCTCTTGCTCCTAATCACTGAACTAGATGACATCCATGAAAAATGTAAAAGGCTCATTTTTCTTTGCATATCTGAGTTCAGAGTAAGGAAAAGTTCAACTCCAACACACCAGCATATCTACGTAAACAGACCCTTAATTTTTGTGTGCAGGAAGGAGCATTCCAGGGCTTATAAACTAGCTATGCTTGGGCTGCTTCCAGGCCTGGACATATTTTATTCGGTCCACACAGTGTCTTACATATTGGAAAAATGCACATTGGAAAAATAAGCCTTTCCCCCACTAGCTTCTCTTAAAAACCATAGGGCTGGAGTTGAGCAGTGAGGTTGGATTTGAAGGGGGTGTCTGTCCACTGTAGGGGGAGGATGGGGAAGAGGCTTCGACCCCTGAATACAGCTCAGTCTGAGGCGGTTTCCTGTGCCCTGGGGAGACGCCATCCGGGTCCTGGGTTCCCCAAGAGGCGGCCATTCACTCCGACAGGGAGAACAATGACCTCTTGTTCTCCTGCCAGCCTGGAGTCCCAGGAGTGGGGAGAGGCAGCCTGGGCCTCTGATTGGAGCCCAGACTCTGCCATTCCTGGTTCTGTGGCCTTGCCTTCTGTCTGGGCTTCCCATTCCTCATCTGTAAAATGGGCACAAAGCCATCCCTGCCCAGCTTTCAACCCTCCCACCCCACTTTCTGACCCGCCTTTGGGGGCTCATCCTTCCTACCTTGTTTGGTTGACCATCAAGGTCTGTGGGTGGGCACGTGACCCAAATACGGCCAATCAGACTTGCTCGTGGGAGAATCAGGAACTGAAGGGGAACGAACGCTGAGATTGGAAACAGCTGGAGCCCCAAAGACCTGGCTGCTGGTTCCCACTCCCCACCCCTGGCTCCTGCTCCCCATGTTCCTGGAGCTGCTCGTTCCTGTCCTTTCCAAGTCCCAGCTGGTCAACTTTTCCTTCCAATACCTCGTCCCCACCTTTTCTTTTTTTTAAATTAGCCAGGGTTGGTTTCTGAGGCTTGAAGAAACCCAAGTACTCTGCCTGATGCCAGCATGACAATTTCTGCTTCTAAAGCTGGTATGAGGGTCAAATGCTATGCACTAGAGTATAAACTGTAAAGTGCCATCCACACATGAGGAATTGTCCAGGCACTGGCACATCGCAGTGATGAACTTGGGCCTCAGAATCAGAATTTGATTCCCAGCTCCACCCCTTTCTTGCTGTGTGACCTTGGGCTGCTTGCTTCCCCTCTCTGAGCCTCAGTTTCCTCACCTGGAAAATGGAGATGATACTGGTATTAAGACCAGCTATATACTTTGTGGGTTCCGGAGCAAAGTAAAATGATGGGGACCCTTGTTCAAAAATAATTAAGAATTTCAAGCTGGTGACAGGACAGTGCTAAGCCGAGCATGAGGCCATTCTAGGTGCAGGAGCCTATGTGAGTGCCCAGGTCGCATGTCCATGAAGCTGGCCCTGGCTGCATAGAGCTTGCTGTGAATATGGCATCTTATCCAGGCTGGGCAAGGAGTGGAAAGCTGTATCACTCTAATTCTTATATGGTTGCCTCCCACAAAGCCCTGGAGAAGGTTTACAAAATGAGAATGTAATAATATAATAGGTTTCATCCATTAACCACCAAGTGCGAAACAGGTACTTCACATACTACTTTATTCGGCTTCAGAATGGAGAACTTTCTTCTATTGCAAGTGACAGAAACTCAACCCAAATTGGCTCAAACAAGCAAACAAAAATAATTTAATGATTCATGTGGTCAGGAGCATTCTGGCTTCAGGTATGGCTGAATCCGGGGGTTCAAATGATTTCTCAAGAAATTGTACTTCCCTGTCTCTTGGTTCTGCTGCCCTGTAAGTTGGTTTCATTCTCAGACAGGCTGTCTCCAGGCAGAGGCAAAGGTGGTCCCCCAGTATCCTGCCAGGTCAGAAATCACAGGCAGGAGGTCCTTCTGATCGCCAAATAAACGGTGAGGGAGACACAGAACTCTCTCCATTTCTCTTCTGTGTGTCTGGTACTAGTGGAGGGAGGTTGGGAGGCTATGATAATAATGCTAATAGCCCACATTTATCCAAGGCTTTACATACTTCCGGAGATTAACTCTTTTCATCCTCACAACCAACTCCTTTTGACACCTGGGGAAACAGAGGCACAGATAAGCAACATGCCTGAGACCTTTTAAGTGGGGGGATGCCAGGCTTTGAGTTCACATCGTCTGGCCATGGAGCCCAGCCTTTCTCACTCTAGCCCTCTGCGGACATGCAGGACATGTAGACATTGGGGCTACGTGATGGTCTGTGCATCAGAATTTGGAGCTGTGAACCATGAGCATGGCTGAACACCCACCAAAGATTTCTATTTTGTTTTGTTTAAAGCAGTGAAATGTTTGTGTGTTTGAGATGAGGTTTTTTTTTTTTTTTTTTTGAGACAGTGTCTCACTCTATTGCCCAGGCTGGAGTCTAGTGGCACCATCTTAGCTCACTCAACCTCTGCCTCCCCGTTCAAGCGATTCTCCTGCCTCAGCCTCCCGAGTAGCTGGGATTACAGGTGCCCGCCACCATGCCCAGCTAATTTTTGTATTTTTAGTAGAGATGGGGTTTCACCATGTAGGCCAGTCTGGTCTTGAACTCCTGACCTCAGGTGATCCACCCGCCTCAGCCTCCGAAAGTGCTGGGATTATAGGCGTGAGCCACCGTGCCTGGCCGACATGAGATCTGACATGAATATAGAACAGACACAGGAGCTGATGCCTGGTGAAGTAGGGCTGGGGGATTATTGCCCTCTGGGGACGTGCTGGGGTGGGAGGGAGAGGAATGGGGGTCACACAGGCTTGTTGCATTGTGATCTGAGACTATTGTACTTTTATTCTGCTTTTAAAAAAATTATTGCAGTGTTCTTTGCGGCTTACTAGGTAGCCAGTGTTTGTGAATGTTCATCACGTTATTTTGACCTTCTATTTCCCCGTTTTTTTTCTCTTGGTATTTCAAGAGCTGAGAGAAGTGACTTAAAGTGTCCTTGCTCTATAACTATCTGTTGCTGGGTTATCTGGTGCATGGATGCTCACACCTTTATTTATATTTATTTATTTATTTATTTATTTATTTATTTATTTATTTGAGGCAGAGTTTTGCTCTGTTGCCCAGGCTAGAGTGCAGTGGTGCAATCTCGGGTCACTACAGCTTCTGTCTCTGGGGTTCAAGTGATTCTCGTGCCTCAGCCTCCCGAGTTGCTGGGATTACAGGTGTGCACCACCATGCCCGGCTAATTTTTGTACTTTTAATAGAGATGGGGTATCGCTATGTTGGCCAGGGTAGTCTTGAACTCCTGACCTCAGGCAATCTGCCCCCCTCAGCCTCCCAAA